ATATACGTAGGTACGTTCGTAAACGAAGCCTAAGATAATTAGGTAGAGTTACTATTAATCGCTAAGTTAATAATTAATAATAGAAACGCCTAATCGACTAGTATAAGTCCTTTCTTCCTATCTTACGAATATAATATCGACTTCGTATAACTATAAGATAAGCTCCGCGAAAATAAAAAAAGAAATAGCCTAATATAATAGGGCGAAGAGATCGTATAAAAACTCTAAAAGGCGAGAGAATAGGCTTAGACTTCTATAGCCGTTACTTAATAAGAGTAAGAGGAAATTATAAACCGTATAAGATAATAGTTAATAGAGTTCCGCGTAGGCGATAAGGTCTAGCTCGACTTAAGGAATATACGTACGACGCGGAAGAATAAGAAGCTTAATTAAAAGAATACGAAGTATATCGTAACTAAAGTTATCGGATCGTATAGCTATCGTCTTAATATACTAAAAGGAATTTATAACGTATTCTATTCGAACCTACTACGTACGATATCTATAAATCTATTACCTTCGTAAGTTACTAACGATATTTAGCCGAATTCTATCGTTATATAGAACGAAGAAGAATACTAGATTAAAAGGATTATTCGCTATAAATTCGTACAAAAAGGTCGAGGGTCTTAAAGGTAGTACTTAGTAAAATAGACGAAATATATAGAACTAACCTAGGAATCGAAATTATCGCTCTAGGATATCGTAGCTTTAGATATATATAAATCGATAGCGAGATAATCGACTTCCTAATTACTATACGAAAGTAAAGAGAAAGTATATACGAAGGAACTATAAGAGTAATAAAATATCTAATTATACTATATATATTTAGCTTATTTAGTTATTGTACGGCGAAGCCTAATCGCTACGTTAAGGTATAAACTATAGTTAGATATAGAGAATATTCCTTATCTACTAGGATTATACTAATATTAATATAAGTACTATACGAGAATAAGAGAATAAAAGAAATATTATACGTACCTATCGCTAAGGAGCGGGCCTTTTTATAACTACCTTACCGAAGCGAGAAGGAAGAGGAAAGGAGAGGAGAGCCTTACGGATAGAGAGAGGAGCGCTATCGTTATCGAACGAATCCGACGATAGTACTATAATACTACTATCGTCGTCTTTATCGCGCTTCGAATAACGAGTATCGTAGTCTAACTACTTATAGTTATCGTACGTACTATCGAAGTATTCTAGAATACGTCGATACTCTAGAAATAAGCGTATTAAGCGCTTATAACGATTATAAGGATCGAAAAGAATACTTCGGCTCTAAATAAGTAAGGCGTTAATATACGATAGCCGATACGACCGAACTCGTACTAGAGTAACTACTCCTCGTACGAAAGGTACGTTAGTTTCTAGTATAGCTAAGACCGCCCGTTAAGAGATATTATAGTAGTATAATACTAGCGATTACTCGAAGGTAAGGAAAATAGAGATTTAAGTTAGCGCGAGCTATTCTAACTAACGCTAAGTCGTAGCGGTATCCTATACTACTAATACTATATTATCTTAACTTTTCCGTTCTCCTATTAGTACGTACGACTAAACGGAAAGGCCTAGAGCTTAAAGTATAGAGGACGAATTAAAGAGGAGGAAATAGATTAGTTCGCTTACTTATTTACTATATCGACTACGAATATTTAAGAATTAGTAACGACTAATAATCGTACGTAATAGGAATAGGGATAAGTACTTATAAAAACTTCCTCGATAATTAATATAAGAGAAGAAAAAGTAGGATAAAAGTAAGTAGAAATAAGAATTTTACTTTATACGCTACTCGACGTCCGACTAGTTCCTATTAGGAGTAGCGGCTTCTTAGCGTCGTACGAAGAAAGGAGGAGAGTAATATTACGAATTAAATTCGTATAAAGCTCTAAAGTACGCCCTAGAGCGATTACTCGTAGTATACCTTTAGGCTATATAACTATATAGTCGAAGCTATATAATGCCTTTCTATCGATTATCTCCTAGGAAACTATACTAACCTACTATAGGAGA